GATAGATAGATAGATAGATAGATAGATAGATAGATAGATAGATAGATAGATAGATACACACACACACACAATACAAATATATAATATACAAACATTCTGTGCATCTCTTGGGGGCTAAGCCCCCCTTGTCCTTAAAACCTAGTGACACCCTTGGTCATGAGGTATGGATAATAATTACAAGAACAAGATCCTGGATACAAACGGACAACATGGGCCTGAATTTGTGTAGAGACTCAGCATTAGAGATGAGATGTGTATCTTCCACACAGAGGTTGAAGAAGAGCCACTTCCCCTCTGAATCAAAAGAAGTCAGCTGAGGTAGTTAAGGCACCTGATTAGGATATCTCCTGCATGCCTCCCTCTAGATATTTTCTGGGCATGACCCACTGAGAGGAGACCAGTAGGGCAGACCCAGAACTCACTGGAAGAATAATGTCTCCACTTTGGTCTTGGAATGTCTCATGGGTGCCCAGGATGAGACAGAGTGTCACTGGGGAGAGGGATTCATGGGTTTCCTTCCTGGACATGTTGTCTCTGTGATCACGAATAAGAGGTATGAATACATGGCGTAGGTTAAATGTGAAGTGTTGAAGAGTAAGGAGTTATTCCATAACTGCTAACGGCTCACATTTCTCTTTTGCATCCAAAAATTCATGCACAACTGCAGCAAAACTGAAGTAGATAAATATTTAATATTTAATCTGAACGTAGTTTTCCCAGTGATTATCAGTCCTGCATGACTTTCTCATTTAAAAACACAAACAGTGAGCAGACTAACAGAAAGACGTGGCTCCTCTCTCTTACATAATAATTTGAAAAGCGCAGACTGCACATTTGTCTTGTGTAGGATCTACTCTTAGTTTAAATTCTGATCCACATCCACTCCTCTGCCCTCCCTTCCCAAATAAATAAATAAATAAAAACCAGTGGGAGAGTGATATCAGCAGAATTATTAAGTAACCCAACATATTCAGACATTCACACTCAAAGAAAATGGTAGTTTAGTTGGATGCGTTTGCCTCGGTGTAAGAAATGATTATGATTTTTATGTCGGTGTGCAGTGAATGATTTCACATCATATTTAGTGTTTGAGGGAGAGAAAAATATTCAGCATTGCATTTTGAGAGTTCTGGCTCAAAGGGAAGTCCTGGGTGTGTGTGTGTGTATGTGTGTGTGTAAGCAGCCAGACAGTGTCTGGATTCATAGAAAACCAATCGAGGCACCTGCCAGCTACCGCTGCCAGTCACTGATAAAATGGGAATGAATGTGTAGGCCTCCAGCACATATTGCCGCCTTGTAAAGGTCAGGAGGTATTAAAAAAAACTGTTTTCTCACCTTTTTTATTTGTTTACCCTAAACACATGCCTGCTTTTACTGCCTGGTGGATAAATCTAATAAAATAAAACACAATAAAAAGGCAGTTGTGGGTTGTGATCATTTTTATTACAAAAGAACAATGGCTCAAGGCAAAAAATAGATGAAAAAAAGGCTTCAGAATAGACAAGGAAACGCTGCTTGAGCAACAGCTACAAAAGGAATAAAGCACTTTACCATTTATCATGCACGAACAGGGTACTCTGCCGCAGATACATGCAGGGGAAAATAAAAATAAAAACTCAGCACGACATTGCAACAACTGCATGACGCAGTGAAAGGCCACAGCAGATCACGAGAAAACATCACACGTCATCAAAAGGCTCACAGTTCACTTTGTGTCCCTGCAGGGACAAATTAAAAGGAACAGAATTATTATTTATTCTTTTTTCTTCTTCTAGTTATTAACATCTTGTATGACATCTGTGAAGAGCAAAGACACTGTTGCAACAGAGTCCCCAGTGTTTGCCGTCTACGATACTGTAAACAATCTACACGATAAGGCGCACAGTTGAAAAGTTGCCCAACGAAAGAGCCACAACATCAGTCTGTAAAGGGTTTGATGTGAAAGTGCTTGTTCATCTTCCACATCAACACTCTGCAGATCTGGCATACCAACTGTCAATATACCAACTGCAGGCAGTAAAATGCTGTTTTAGTTTTTTCTTTTTTTAATGAGCATCATGCAAAAACACACTCACTCAAATACACACATATACAGAATAAAAAAATATGTAAAAATTGTTTCTTTTTCTCTTCTTCCTAAAACATTTTTTCCGCAACATTTTATTTCAAGTTAAACACAAAGTAATTA